GGGAGGATTGGGGCGAGGAAATATTTGCCGAGGGAGTAGGTGGGGAAGGAAAAAATATTATTTTTTCCTTCCCCTCCCTCTCCCCCGTTGCTCATTTTTCCACTTAACACCTACTCCCTCGGCAAGTATTTCCTCGCCCCAATCCTCCACAGTTACCAAATCTAAGATGGCGGCCTAATACGAAAATGTGCACTCGTGCGCCCAAAATACGCCGGCACTGCAGGCTAGGACTCTACCGGTATTGCCATCTCTCAGAGCAAGGAGATCCACCAGTCGGTTGAGATGAAAAGATGCAGGAAGGCCGCCAAACGTGTCCTCTTCAGGGATCTGAAAGCTAGCATGACAAACCGGACATTTCATTGCTGTCTGAAGCTGTCTTCTTGCGTAATTTGCGTGTTGGTCGAGACATCGCAAACAGAATGAGTGCAAACATGGTAGAGTCTTGGGATCTTTGACTGTCTCCAAGCACAGAGGACATTCAGCTTCTTTCCTGAGGTCTTTAAACAGCTGTTGAACATCCATGGTGAAATGGCGCCCGTCTTAACTGAGAAAGATTATCTGATCAGTTCTTCGTCGAATGTGTCCTCAGGCACAGAATGTAATACAGAGTCCAATTGAATGCTGGGATTGGCCAACCCTGTACCAGGTCCCTCCGTGGGTTTTTCTCGCGGCCTCGAAGGCGAGGTTAATATCGTCGAATAATCCCCGAGACGAAGTCGAGGGGATTATTCGACAATAATCACCGAACCTGGGGCGAATAATTGTTTTTGTATAATTTCATAGCTGAACAACAGAAAAATTTCTGAAATCATAACATTTTATTTTAACATTTTATATAAACCGCGTGGAGCGGTTTATATAGCGTCATATAAGGTTTGATGAAGTGAAGTTTATTTATTCATAAATACATAGCAGTTAAAAAAAACTGAATTGCGTATTTACTGACATAATATAGATAGTAAAATTAAACTATTTTTAAAAATCGAGTTTCCAGATGGGATTTGAACCTACGACCCTCCGTGATCTAGTCGGATGCTCTAACCATGGAGCTACAGGAGACTCTATGGTGAGCAAGGGTCAATTAGTGGGTATCGACTGGAACCGCATCACGCGGCTACACAGCCAAACATCAGCTAGCGCATAGAAGCTCACTAACAGCATCACACTGTCACATTAAAGCATCACATGCAGCCAACCAGCCTCCAAAGTGAGCATGTAAAGATGAAAATAAACAATTTTTAAAAATCGAGTTTCCAGATGGGATTTGAACCCACGACNTAATCTTTTTTAATAATTATTTGTAATATATTTTAAGAGGGCCACTGGTTTGTCAGTTTTATACTGTTATGTGTTTTACCCTCTTTAAATAAAGTTGATTATTATTATTATTATTATTATTATTATTTTGAAGGAGTTTTAATGACATGTTGTCAAATAAATCCTGTTAGACGCGAAATAATCGTTGGATTTGACAAAACGACTAAGGAAATGAAAACAAATTTGTCAACTGAGCGCGTATAGTTATGCATTTTAGAAACAAAACTAAAGCAAAACTCGCAGAGTAAACATTCAGTTGTTAAAAACAGAAGAGTGGAAAACCGTGATGTTCCATAGACAGGTAGTGTTTTTTACTCTTCAGAAGTAAATTCAGCTTTTTCAGTTGAATCCCCGATGATTTTTAAAATTCTAAGTTTTGATGCCGAATGATTTATCGCTATTACGTTTAATTTTTAATACAATTGGTTGCACATATTATTTGTGGGTCTCAAGAAAATAATAACAGCGACGGAAAAGAAAATTAAGAATTGAACTTTCATTGCGGGGTAGCTATACATGAAAAAACAAAAGTAAAGAAAATCTAGCAGAGTAAACATTCAGATATTAATCCGAGAGTGAGAATACATTTCCGTTAACGTTACAAACTCAAGTCCTTGCTTTTGGTCCACTCTTACTTCAAATAATCATAAGGAAAGCTTTTCCTTAAGCGTCTTAAGAGCGTGTCTCTGTAATTTCCGACCACTTGAAATTGGTTCAAAAATAAATCTTCCCTTAAACTTTGCATGTGGATAAGGAAACCATTGCCTATCATCGAAACATAATTGGTTTCCCTGAGATTTCAAAAGTTTTTTATTTTTTAACAATTTTCCGCGCGTAGCGGGTCAAATCGTGAAATTGACATCATTTGTGTACACAAAATGAGCAATCTTTACTTGGATCTCACGCCGTCAAAAATGATTCAATACGAGACATATTCTGGAATACAACAGTTTAATACATCAACTTTTCAAGTGTGATTACAAAGGTAAAGTATCTGGATAAATGTAAACACTGTCGTTACGTCAAATATGCCACTACTCGACTAAGCCGAAAAGTGGTACTTTTTAAATTGCGATTTCTCCGTACTGGGACAAACCTAGATATCAGGAGTCACACACACTCAACAACCGTGCATGAGAGCACTACATTCTGTAAAAATATCCATGGCTATTATCGCAGGAAAAAAGTAAAGCGAAGTAGAAATGCGGGATTTTTCACATACCTGTAGGGCGCTGCTTTCTTTAATTTGCATTCGTAATTATTCACAATGAATCACAAATAATCGAAAATGAACAGCTCTGTGCACTTACTAATACTGTAGAATGTCTGTAAGTCGGGTTTTATTGTCCGAAGGTCCAAGGATTTCTTTCCGGGTGCGAGTCTGTAGGAATTTAGGTCATTCATTCTGAGTGACGATTCAGCGGCACCGAGTATTTGTATACTAGCACTGTAATCCTTTCCATCTTCCAACTTTAAAGCCCTGCTGAGAACAGTATCCCCTAAAATACACAGCTCCATCCGAATTCAAGTTGTAGACTGTTCCAAATTTGCCGGTCATTTGTAAGCTATGTAAGAATCGAGTAACATTCATCGTGACATTCTTCTCTCTGGTAACAACCCCGTGGCCTCGATTGCATGAGAATCTAGACAGCCACGGGCCGGGGAGTGTGTGTGGGGGGGGGGCAGTTATTGGAGACAACCGCATTCTGTGACAAGTTCCTCTATCTTTGCAACAGTCTTTTTCTTCTGTCTTTCAATGTGTAAGTTATATCATAATAATCAAGAATTTCCTTGAGAATTTTATCATTCAGTTTCAGGAGTTTTGGCTCAGTAGCATATTCACAAACATTGAAAGTGTCATAGATAACGGGGTGTTTCAAACCAATGTGCGCATGGATAGAGTTTAGAAGCTCTACTTCATCTTCAAATTATTTCCATTCAAATCCCGCTGCCTCCTCTTCTCCTGAAGGTGCTGAATATTTTAAAGAAAGCCAGTTTGAAAGCGTCTTCTCCAGGCTGGCGTCCACTCGAAAACATTCAACACCTTTAGAAGAAGGGGTTTGTTTCTCGCGGCCTCGATATTTTACATTAGTATTCGGTAGTTGGTTCGGTTGTTGATGCAAGAATTTTGTTAAGTTGAGCGTGACGGCAATCGCGGCTTGACCTTGAAAAGCCAAGTTGTTGGAACGTGACATGAAAATTGAAAAAAAAAGTTTCGTTAAAAGTAATGAAACTTCATACTTGAGGTTGAATGCGATGATTTTATTTTGTTTGGCTTGCTTAAAATGTTTTGACCTTTGGAGAAAGTCCGTTGAATGTGGTTTGATTTAGGTGTTGAGCTTGAATGAAATTTATCTTGATTTTGACGGGAAATTTGTTGAATGTGAAGCCCATTTAGCATCCTGAATTTTTCACCATTTGGTTTTTCACACTGGATTGTGCGTTGTTTACGTGACTTCACGTCCATAAAATCGCATAGTGTTGTGTTGAAAATTCTAGAAGTTGAATAATCAAAAGACAAAATAAATACCAACAGTGGTTTTAGGACATATCAACACTTAAAATAATATTTACCGGTCCAAAGAATGACCCAAATGTCGCAAAGCCCCGGTTGAAGTTGGCAAGTTCCGTTTTCATCAGTTTTTCAGTCACTGTCCTTGTCGATTATGAGGATCGCATTTTTCCCCAGTGAGGAACTGGACATAGAATGTATTGAACGGTCATTTACAGCGGGACCGCTCAAACAAAACTAAGAATAATCTATCTGGTAATTTTTAATCCAATTTCCCCTCCCAAAATCAAAGTAAGTAATACTTCCGAGCGAGATTCGGTACATTAAGTGGTTAATTATGGCATAGCGTGGCGTTGTTTATCGTCGCGCGCTTACCTTTCCAAACCCTAGATTCATACCTAGGGTATAACTATACTAACGAAGTCAGTGAACGATCCCGTATTCCATCAATGAAACATTCTTTCTCGGGAAAATTGTGGTGTCGTAACGAAGTGAATACGGTCCTAATTTGAAGTGGGATTTCTGAACCATCTCGTCGGAAATCTGTTAGCGCGTTTGCTTACACCGTCATTTAGCTTAAATTTTACGAACATCATTAAAAACATTGCTAATAGCTAAGAGGGTGGGTGAAAAATATCTACCTTCCCTTATTTATCGACAAAAACTACATCGTGATCACTTCACTCACAATTTTCTTGCAAGAGCAAAAAGAAAAAAAGAGAAAAAAAAGAGGTCACGGTCCTTGAATAAGCTTTTGTGTTTTTTTCCTCATCTGCATGATCTGAAATCGGCCCGTGACAGTAGACTACAAGCAGTCTCTCCTCTTCTGCGAAGTCCGTCGAGTTTTTTTTAAAAAAATGACGATGAAAAAGAATTAATGTTGGTTTGACGTAGGGAACTCTGAGAGATAGGCGCACAAATAGTAGGGACTTCTCGTAGTCTAGCATTACAGGAAGGGGGCAAAAAAAAAAGGAGCAAAAATGCTTCCTCTTGACGTCACATATTTCCACAAGGGTTTGCGTGAAAGAAAACTTGTTGACGTTGGAAGAAAAACATGCAATGCCGAGTGACTGGACCTCAGCGTAACCGGCGCTATTTTCGAAAAAGCAGGTTTTGAAATAAACACTTCACCCGAGCAGCTCTTGTTCGATTTTCTTTTTAATCACCAGTACCTGATTCATTATGATTGATCTGCTACTATTAAACCAAAACAGAATTAACGAGATAATATAATCGATAGTCCTTTTGACTTACCGTCGATTGAGTGGGGCCTTCCTAGTAATAAGATTTTCTAAAGAAACTTGTCCAGTGATATTATTTTAAAATAAATATTTTTAGCTTTGGTTCCTTTTACTTGTCTCACTCAAATCACTTATTTCCTAACTTATTCCCCCCTTATTAAATTGTTTTAATAAGTTCATTTTGTCATAATTAGCAATCATGTGGGTCGAGTTTGCCATTTCTGCACCTATTTCTACTGAAGGTGATAAAGTTTCTTTCCCGCCTTTGAGATCCATTCATGAAATTCACTGTGTCACGTAACATTCTAATTACTAACGGCGATGGCAAACCCTCATAACTGTGAGCATTTTTATTGCTTTCCATTAAAAAGCGTCTTTGCCCTTATAATCGCGCATTAAACGAAAACTAAAAGATTTACCACAGAAACTTTTATCTCCGTTACAGCCTTAGTGAAAGACATGAACACAGTGGTTATGATGATCAGTTACAAAAACATCTCCATTTTTAGATACGGCAACATAATGTGGTACAAATGGAGACAGTCCGAACATCGAGACAAATTTTCCGTCGAGTGTGAATACTTGAACTGTACTGTTCTCAACATCACAGACAAGTAAATTGTTGAATATGTCTATTGCGAGTCCAATGGGAGAACCTAGATGTCCGTCACCAGACTCCTCGCTGCCAATGTTATACAGCAATTTTCCGTATTCGTCAAAAACACCAACACGGTGAGCCTCACGATCAGAGACAAAGAATTTCTCCTCGTGGTAGATTGTGCACTTTATTGAATCATGATGTTCTGAGGCGCGGAAACGTTTTAGTAATTCTGTCCCGTCGGGGGAGATGACCCCGAAGACATGATTTACTGGATCACTTGTGATAATGCAATCACCCTTTCCCACAGATATATGGAAAGGACACTGTAAGTGCATACTGCTGATGTGCTGGACAAATTTACCGTCTTCAGCAAACAAACAAATTTTATTATCATCCTGTGGGGTAGCGGCAATAATTTGATCTGACTCGGTAAAGCTTACTGATGAACAAGGCGTCCCCAGTCTTACTTCATTCAGGAAGTTCCATTTGGAGTTAAAGAGCTGTATTCTATCATTCCAATAGTCAGAAATGGCAATAGTTCCTGTTTTCTCACTTACAGCAACACCACACGGATAATGAAAATTCCCTGCTCTCGTGCCACATGAACCAAAGCTGAACTTCAACTTATACTCATGATGGATGACCTGAACAGTCCATGGGCTTCCATCCAGCGGATGTCCATTGACTTCGATTTTTACGTCATATAATCCGCTATGATCTGGTGTGTATTTAACTCTATAACTACCATCTTCCTCGTTCTCGATCTTTAGATCCATTTGCGACTTATCCCCTGTTGAAGTGTGAAAGTCACAGTTTATGTGATCATCCTTATTATAACACTGTCTTCCTTCTGAATCCCTGGTGATAATAGTAAAACATGTCTCATTCTGTTCTTTTACCTTCTCACAAAGTCCTTTGACAAGTGTCGATGATGAATCTGTATGGTTTACTAAAACTCGATCCAAAATATCCATTTTGTGCTCTACTACATAATTAACACGTGGTGGTTTATAAATGTCAGGTTTTTTTGCGTTTAAAAGGTCCTCGCAGCGTCCAATAATCACTGGCTGCGTTCGCAAAATTTCAACATCGATATTCCTTTCTAAGATTTTCTCCGCTTGTTCGAGAGAACTTTTCAACTGAGCAACAGCAAGCTGGAAGTCTTCCAGGTGTGCTACGTGAGCTTTTTGCTGTGCTTGATTAATTTCATCGAATTTCACATCCATCATAGCCTTATGCTCTGTCAATAAGCGAATACAATCGTTCACAGTTTCGTTCATCTTCTCTCTGGCAGCAGATATTTGTGTTTTGTTTTTGTGTATTAATTCAGTTTGCTCCTTCATTTCATTTTCACAAATAACAACTTTCGCTTCCATTTTCTTTAAAGCCTCGTGTATATGCATCTTTTGTTCATCTGCAGCTTTCTGCATATCAACCAGAGTGTGTCGATTATGACTCACAACACTGCACCTTATGCAGGTGCAAACGTTACAATCTTGACAATAATATTCAAGTGGCTGATCTTGGTGGTATTGCTCTGAGCACATAACTGGTCTGCGAATCAACTCTTCCATATCGTCTGCCTGCAAATTCTCGACAGAGATATTTCTGTGACCTCTTGTGGCCTTGATGCGCTGATGAGCTTCAAAACAAGGTGTACATAGAAAGCTCTGGCACCCAAAACAGTAATGAGTTGCTGTGTTGTTTTCTTCACAGCTGCCGCATTGCTGGGACTCTNTGCGTGGTTATCCCCCAGTTTGTGTTGTTATTATCACTATTTAGAAAACACAGCATCAATCCCACAAGTATCAGTAATTATCTGAATCTCAAACTAAACTATATACGTATGCGCCAAGTTTGGAAAATTTTTATTACAAAAGAAACATACAGCCTTGAAAGCTTAAACAATAACCACTTTTCAATTGCTTGCTTGTTCATACCTGTAACACAACCAAATTCAAAACAACCAAAGACAACACAGAGTTGTGGCATGATAAGAGGGGAAACTAAAACTGTAAAACGATCATACCGGCTTCCGCAAAGCACGTGGGCGGTGTAGTGTCCAACAAAAAAAAATTTACCGTTCACACAAAATAAAGGTATTACAATCCAAACTACAGCACAAGTCTTAAAATAGTCTGCATTGGCATACCTAATTACAAGTATTGTCAGCTATTTAGAATGCATGACATTGACAAGTATATGTGTAACACCTTCAACTTACACTTCAGACAGCTATGTTACAGCGATTGTAACGCGTGGTTATCCCCCAACATGGCTGACCCCGCTTTTTTAATTTATGCCGACGTCACGTGCAAACAAAGAATACTGCTTCCAAATGAGTTCCGGGATCGGTTAACCCTTTACCAGGTCCCTCGAAGGACATGTTGTTTTGTGCGGCCTGGATATGTGATAGTTGTTAACCTAGTAGTTCGGTTGTTGATGCAAGAATTTTGTTACGCTGAGCGTGATGGCAGTCATTGAAAGTAACTCAAGCTCATCCTTGAGCTTGATGCAAAACATATCTTCGCCTTCAAAAGAAATGTGTTGAATGTGATGAATTTATTTTGTTGAGCTTGCTTAAAATGTGTCATAACCTTTAGAAAAAGTCAGTTGAATGTGATTTGATCTTTGTTAAGCTTGGATGAGATTTAATGTGACTTTGAGAGGAAATTTGTTAAATGTGAAGCCAATTCGAAAATGGTATGATTCATCTTTTCCTCTCTTATATTTGTATCGTTTTGTTTTAATATAAAGAAAATGTGACATAACTCAGAGGGAATCTAATTAGCTTTACATGTGACCCTTTCACTCATTAGTACTCCTCCTTACTGTCTGCTTTACAATTCTTGTGATCTCATTTCTTTGGTATTGAATCAACAAATATTCCCCTATTGAATATTTTTCGTTATTGTTGTCCCTTTCTACAGTTTTTTTCAATTTCAGAGGGATTAAGATGTTGAATCATTGAAGGTCTCTGTCTCTGATATTGATTTATGCCTACATGGATTCTAAATTTCCATGCTTCATAATGGTCCTATTTCAGTTTTCTGTTCATGATTTTCAAAACATTCAGTATGAGTTAACAAAATAAAAGTTTGATATAGGAATGAAACATGACAAGCATTTTACACAATGTTCTGTCATACTAATATAAAAATGACTCTAACCGCCAGCTAATTACAATTTGGAGTAGATTAAGATAGAAAAATTCAGGGATGTGCTAGACTTGACCGTTCGTGTCTGTGAGTTGACCAGAATAGCATCTGGCGTAGACCTTCCCCCTTTCACAAAGGCAATATATTATAGATACAAACTCATAAAATCATTTGATCACAAGTAATATAACAATGTTTACAATCAATGGCTGTGTAATCATTTCAGTACATGACAGTTTCCCATAATACTGTAACACTGTTTGATTGCCTCCTGGCACTTGTTGTAATCTTGCCATGGACGACACACAAGCTCTTCAAGCAGTCCAAGATGAGATAGGAACACAGTCAAGGTTCCTTCCACATCTGCTTTGAGAAGAAGAGCATCAATGGCTTGCTCAAACAACTCTGTTGACTCTTTTAAAGTGGTTCCCATCTGGGACAAATCATATGAACAATGGCAGAANCAGCAAGGCATTGGGACAGTCACACGCTTCAAACAATGATAACAATGTGTTTCCAAATGTTGTGGTAGAAGAACAGAGGCAAAAGGTTTTTCAATGACCAGGATGTCTCCTACAAAAATGTCTTGAGTTGCTACTGGATGGCAACCAAATTTGGGGATGTGATGATGTCCACACAACAAGAGGCTGACCTAAACTTGGTGTTCCTTTCATGGGTGTGTTGTGGCAAAGCAAATTCTTGCTGCAACAGATAATCATCATTTGCATTTATATCTGAAGGCTTTTCATGACTATTGTTTACTTTCAATTCCTGAGATCTGCATACTGAAATTTCCATTTCAAGTTCTTTCATCCAAGTGTCTCTTTTAGTTTTATCCAGCTTGGACTCATTAAGGGCCTTTTTACCCTCTTCAAAGCAGTCAATGGCTGTGCTCCTTCTACCAAGTTGTGAAAGACACTTTCCACGTCTTTCAAGCAACTTGTACCTGAGTTCCATAGGATACCCATAGCTCAAAGCCTGTTGAATGTTCTCCAAACATTTTGGATACTTTCTTAATTTAAACAATACTGCAGATCTATTTGCCAGAGCAAGGGACAATTCATTGCTGGAACAATCTACGGGTGCATTCAAAATACTGCAAGTGTAAGTGTCTAGTGCCTCCAGATGTCGATCTTTCTGGTAGAGTTTGTTTCCTTCATAACGCAGCCTTGTAGACTGTGCTGCTGACTTTGGATTGAAACAAGGTTCCACTTTCATAACCTCATGAAGGCAAGCCAAACTCAGACCAAATGCAACTCTCTCTTCATCTGATTGTAGCAAGCCAAACTGAGCAGAGAACTCTTTAACATTGACTCTTTGATTTAGAATGCTACTGATGGAGGAAAACCATTCTTGAAATAGCCCTCTTCCACTGTCCTGCATTTTTCTATAAAAAGTAGAAAACTTGAAATAATAATATAACAGAAACAAAATTCCGCTTTCAATACATTTCAAAAACTCCATTGCAATAACTCACAGACTCTCCTACCAGAGTATTTACTATGTTTTCAGGAAAGCATTTGTGGTGAATTGGTGATTGGGCTATGATGAACTGAATATCACACAAGGGGGAGGGGGTAGGAAATCACACCTTAGAATACTTTTTGATTGCAAAAAACTCTTTATAAAGGGCAGCAGAAATAATTACCTAGAGGAGTTTTCTATCAAACACCTGGACACAATTTCTATGAATAATCAACTTTACAGGGATTTTTCACCTGAAAAGGAACCTTTTACTAAAGCTGTGATGTACTAAGATTTATAAGTATTAAGAGCATATACACCAGTTTATGAAAAGAGTCTGGAAAACTGTTATCAAGTTTTGAAAGTGCCTAAACACCAAATGCATTTGCTTGTTTTAGAGGGAGCTCAAGAGAAAAGTTGCCCAGCCATCTACATTTTTTTTCAATCTTTACTTCTCTTGGAGTAGAAGAGGGATACAGTTTTCATTTGTTTTTATTATGCCAGGTACATGAGAGTGGTGACCTATTGATTAAAAGTGTTACAGGGGTAAGGGCTGGGATCTTAGGGTGTGGCATTCCCTGACGAACCTCTGCAGGGTGAACCCCTTTCCTCCATCGACCTGGATATCGTGCAATCATTTTCTTCGCCTTGTAAAATATCTCACAACTCTACGAGAGCAAAATACTTGAACTTGGTCGAAACTTCTTGCAGAATCTGTAGATAAATTTGGGAACTTTTGTTGTATGTTTTTACAAAGCAGAATTCGTTCGGAACAAGCTGACACCATTCCTTCCGAATGGCTCTAATACTACCACAGCACTATAAAAATGTTGAACTTTCTTCAGAATTCTTGGAGTGAAATGCTTAACTTGGGAAATCGATAAACATACCTTCGATCAAATTATCACCGATCGGTGAAAAGGGTGTAAAAACTATGCAAACCTACTTAACTACTGCATGTTCTTTTTCACCTTTCAAATTTGGAAGACTTCAGACATCGATCTTTGTTATCGCTTCAGATTTAAATCTCTCCTGTACGGTCAAATTCTTGAACAGCAGCTATACTCCATTTGCTCTCTGTGTCGCCATGTTAAGTGGTTGTCTACAACGGCAGAGAGCAGAGACTGGGACTAACCGCCTATCAAGGGAGGAGTCGGGTTTGAGAGAGAGCTGCAATTTGTAAAATATCTCTTTCAGGTAACTGTCATCAACTTTTACTGATTTGTTGTAATTTTTTTGAAAGGAAGGGATCTCTATATTTTAAGTGACTAAGGAGATGAGAATGAGGTCATACTTCAAACCCCCTCCTCATTCACCATTAATTTGCTGTGTTATGCAAGGTGGAAGTCTAAGATTATGTGCATGGGAAACAAAAGAATTTATGAAAACTCCATAGAAACCCAAAAGAAGTTTAGAACTGCCAACATTTAAGCAGTGTATCCATGATCTCTTGCATACGGAACAGTGTCTCACACCCTTGAGGCTCAAATATGGACCCACAATTTGAAGAAGATTTTTGACATCTTTGGCAGCCTTAGAAAGTTATAAGGACACCAAGCAATAAGAATATTAGTAGAAATATAGGTGATGACGAAAGGGAAATTTTCCCTCATTAGACCTCGAGAAAGCTGGTTTGTTCAGAAGTACATTTATTATCATAAATCTCTTGATACCTAGTATAAACAACTTTAAGTAGACAGTGTAGTGGGACTCAAAGAGCTTTCTCTGCCTGAATGTGGAGAGAGAACAGTGAACTGATAACAGAGCATAACAGGACATAAGAGGACATAACAGGGCATAACAGGAAATAACAGGGCATAACAGGACAGAACAGGATGATTGGGAGACATATTGCATGTTTTTCATCTATGCAACCAGCAATGAATAGCTTGCACAGAATTCTGTACCTTGTCACCATTTACATTTTACAGATCAGCCCTAGAACCCAAGTAACCCTGTAAATTAATTACAGGGTAATACATTCTGCAAATGAGAATCTTTCATGTAATTTAAGGCTTAGTTATATAAAATGTTAAATTGATGCATTTCTAGGAAAGTAATTTTTGTAATTTTAAGTTGAAAAATTTCTTTAAAGTAAGAAGCATTTTTCCATCCCTTAATCAGGAAGACTTGTATGAAAGCTAAAATTTTATAACAGAACTGCTAAGAAGCAGCACATAGCAACCATCACTGGTTACTTTTCATTGATTTTCTGGCTGCTTCAGTCATCATTTCAAGATGCCCACAGGAAGACAATATAGATTGCCTTAAAAATTGACACCCAAAAGAATATCCTTTTAAGACAAATCTGTCTACTTCAACACAGAAAACCGAAAACATACTCTTGTAGAAACTATGCAACTAACACTGTAAAATATCAGTAGTACTAACATCAAAGAGCTAAGTAGTAACTTTTAAGAGCACAATTGCTTCTAAACTAAAAATTATGTGGTCTAATACAACAAAATATGCTATAGAGGCTCTTGTAAACTGAGCTCCCTTTTGAAAAATCCCCATGATTGTCCAATTTTGAAGCATGTCTAGCAAATAAGAGTGGAAAAAAAAAACTAACTCAAATTGCAGTGGCTTTCATTTTTTGAAAAGCTTCTTTAAATCTAACAGAAAACAGAAATTCTCCCATTTTTTTGTAACAGGTTCAAACAGCGGGGTTACAGAAAACAAAGGGTCTAATAACCATAAACATTGTTTTTAAGTTCTACTGGTAAATATAGTACATTTTAAACACTTCCCCTTATTTTGGAACAGGCAGAACATTTTATGTCATTGACTCTACAAATACACATGGTTACAAATTTTATTATGGTGATATTCTAATTGTACCTATAGTAACTAGGGTTTGCTGCTTTTTGCTTGCAATTTGGAAGCAAATGCCAGTAAATCCCTTCAAAAGATGACATACTGCCTGGAAGACTACTTAGACATTCAAAGGTACAGCACAGCAGCATAACATATCAACAATGTTATGTTCCAGTCAGAGTGTGACCAAGCACCATTTCTAGAAACTGAAAGAAGATGGCAAATGAGAAATCATGGAAATCAAATTTCCAAGAGATTACAGCTTAGGCCAATTTCGAAAATTCACTTATTAACATTACTGGTTAACTGTGCAGGGTGCAGTTTTGTAAAAATTTTAGCCTTTTCCAAAATTACAGGCTGTACAAAAACTCTAAGAGATCACAATCACAGCTATTAATTACAAAAGGAAGCAAAATGCATCCAGGCACTTTGTGAGAGATGGAGCGATTTTGTTATATACTTTAATAGTCAACCTGAAGATATCAACATAAGCTACTGACTCCCAGCTTTTGAAGTTTATGGATCTGTGTGTACAGAGCATGTGAGGGTAATTTTCATTCTGAATGTACAAATCAGAACAGGACAGATATTCTCTCTTCAGCTGCTGAAAAGTCCTATGAACAATATTTAACAACTATTCACCGAAGTGGAGGTGGTTAGTGGTGGATATTTACCGAGCTGCAAAGCCGCGAGGTAAATATCCACCGCTAACCACCAACACTGAGGTGAATAGTTGTTTTAGTATATTACTACAACAGTGAGATTATATACACCACCAAAAATTGATTTGTCGCAATGAGTGATTTTTCTTCGCTGGTCACGGATGCAAACCAGGACGCCATTTTCTCCTGAGTTGCTCAGAGGTAAATAGCAAAGGATATTCGGAGTTTGACTAGCCAATCAGAGCGTGCCTTCAATGCTATCCGCTGTTTTAGTATAATACTAAATTAGGCTATCCCTGTACCCTGATCTTGCCTTACACACTATAAAAAGTTGAAAACTTAACTTTAAAAATTTTTTTAAAATACTTGTTGTTTTTTTGTTTTCTTCTCTTACCTGTTCATAATTGATGGTCACTGTGCCAGTCTGTTGGTGATCATGTTTCCTGAAAGCATCTGTTAAAGATTTCAGCATAACACAGCACTGAATGAAGTCGTCAAACTTCATTGTGTGAACATTCAAGCGGTCAAATTTGCGCACACATAAATTGCAGAAACTTGGTGACCTGAAAAAAGGCAAAACAATTAAATAAGTACATTGGACATTTTTTTCCTTTCAGATATAACATCCTTCTCTTATAGCTTTTCCATCTTCTTTTCTGCGGGCACCACTCATTTGGGTTATCATGAAAAATAAGCTAGAAGTGATAAAGACTTTAAAATTTATTAGAATTCATTTGCAGTGTCTCAACTAGGTTGAATTGCTGTCATTCAAAGTTAGCAAACTCAGAAACTCACAATCTGTATCCAAAGCTTGTAAAGGCTGTTTGCAATTCGTTAGCATCAATTGTTCCTGATCGGTCACGATCAAAGCTTTATTGAGGAATTGATAAAAATAAACATAATTGACATGTAGTTTTTTCCCAAAAGAATTTCAAGACACAGTAACTAACAGGGTTATTATATTTCAAAGAAGCTCAGAATTAATAATAATTTTAAAATCTCATGTATCTATCAAATAAATAACACTCACAAACACAATTCTCATGTGAGCGACACCAAACACTATCCTGAGGGTGACGACTCATTCCTACATGAAGGCTTAAAATAATTTTCCAGCTGCTGCTAATCAAGTTGTCCAGTTAAACCTACTTTTCTCAGGCACAAACCCTTTTATGCCAGACAAATCGCCCCTTTTCCCCCTCCCCCCCCCATTTAAAATGAATATATTTACCACTCTTGCAGCCTAAAACTCACATGCAGCCTAAAACTCAGTGTGGGAAAGGTGATCATTATAGCCAAATTCAAAACCTGGACACAGCTCAGAATTAAATTCTCCCCGGGTCGGATGGCCAGGGTTCAAGTCCTGTGTCCTTAAACAAGTCGCTTCACTCACATTGTTTTGTCTTCTCAGATAAGACAAAAAGCAGTAGGTCCCGTCTCCTGCAGGGTTAGGGGTAGGAGATGTTAATTTCCCACGCATGAGATTACGGTGTGATGGATGTCCTCCCCTTGGGTGGGAAGGTGAGATCGTTACATGGACTGAAGCGGCTGCCAGAGGCGCCTTATAAAATGCTGTCGTCCGATCTCAACCTTAACAACAACATGTAAAGCCCTATATATAAATAAGCGCTATATATAAATTGGAAGCAAGCTTACATGTGTTTGTGAAACGAAAGGTAGTTGTTAAACTCACTGACATTTTTCTTTGGAACACCAAGTTACAATGACCTTTAATTTCTGGACCACATCTTGCTAATAAAGTTATTAAATGATTTAGCATTACCTGTCAAAACATTGTTTCCACTGCTGGATGTATTTCCACAGTGCAGAAAATTCATGAATGTCAATTGTGCCAGATCTACAATAGGTAAGGAGGTCAATACAATCAGATAAGCAAATTTTTTGCAATATTGTTTTGAGTAGTTCTCTTCGAGACAAATAAACCAAACTAACCTTAACTCAGTAGTTTCATCAATTCTACAAGTAGACTGGTTTTAAATATCAGTTAAAATGTGGGAGGGATGTTGGCCTCAGTGCGCTAGACTGCAGATCAAGTGGTCAGTGTTTCAGCCCTGGCTGGAGATATTGTGTTGTGTTCTTAGGAAGAAACTTTACTCTCCACCCAGGGGTTTAAGTGAGTACCAGTATCGACAAATTTAAAGCTGAGGGGTAACCCTGCAAAATGGAC